TGAGTCGTCATAAGTTTCTTTTTGTGCTGACTCCATCCGTTCCGTACTTTTGGTTCTCCCATGTAGGTTGGCTTTGAGAGAACTCGTGTGTATACTCGCTCGTGAGTTTTGTACTGCAAATAGTACTTGGCGAGATGTACTTTACGCATTTCAGGGTTTTCAATGTGGACTTGTTCCTGTCCAGTCCGATATGCTACGCAGAACCAAGTATGTGCGTACTTTAGGTTTTTTTATAAATTCGTTTACTCATCTTTCCGCCAGTGAGTAAGTTTTAATCACACTCAAGAATAAAAATTGGTATATGTGCTGGCTGGGCCCCACGAAAGATTGTACGGACAGACCACATTCAGTGGGTGTCAGGGTTCTGTATACAGGGAGTGAATACATGGCGTATCCTTGCTGGAAGATCTGTCAAAATGAAGCCATTTATCCTTCCAAATCCTCGTTATGTATGACAATGACATAAAGACAGCTTCATAGGGGAACCATATTTAAGGAAAATCATTAAAAAGACTACAGACAAACTGGTAAGCTATTGAGCTACCAGAGGTGCTTTGTTGTAACCTACAATCAAGGAAAATTGTATATCGTTTCAAATAAATCGTCACGAAAAAGTCTTCTTCTTCTTGTGATTTGTGGCGGTAAACAGGATCAAGAAGGATTTCCAATCAAGGCAGTTTTGAAGTCATCCATGAATTTGTTCACTTTATCTTTGTATTTCGGCAATTTTATCTAGAATATCCACCAAAATTTTGAGGGTCATCTTTTTGTGTCATCAAATCGATTTGTAATTGAATTGCTCTCTCAATAAAAGAATCAAGAAGCTACTCATTTCGTAAACATCCCTGTATTATAGCAGCGCAATAAGTCTGAATTTATGTGCAAAGTCATTCCGCTCCTAGGACTCTGTTCAGTTCACAAAGCACTCCCATCTCGTGCCTCTCGTGTCAGACAAGAACAGTCGGGATTTCCCCTTACTTAGTGCATTGGATTGGGTTCGACTGGAAGGACTTCTGTGGTTTGTGATGAAGCCATGCTGTCTGTTTACGCTAATCAAATGTGTTTAGTAATCAAATTGGACTACCTTAATATAATCAAGTACGCTGACGATGATAAATATGTATTGCCCTTCAACCTGAATACACGAAGCACGCTGATTCCGAAGGTGTTTGAAAAGGCCAATCATCTGAAAATCGTTGGCTCCAGTTTGTAAAAAAGCCACTCGAAAGGATTTACCACCACATACATCAATATCCTTTGCACTGAACAATTTACGCAAAATAACGTCAATTAGAATAACGGCTCCAGTACGACCGATTCCAGCCGAACAGTGCATAACTATAGGGCCATTGTCTAGTTTATCGCCCTGAAATCTCTATAATTTACCCTGAAGTTAGGCCATGAAGGGCTGGGTAAAGATCCCAGCTTGGAAGGTGAAGTATCTAAGGAATGAAGTGATTTCTAACTTTAAAGAATACGTAAGCTTATTATAAGTGCTACTATGCACTGAGCTGGGAAATATGGCGACCCAAACGGACTGCTCACTCCTCTGCTCTCCTCCCTTTGTTGAGGATCTCCCGTTATACGCTTCTATTCTGTTCTACAAAGGAATCCGTTTATGGCATTGCCGCACGGGAAGGTAGAATGTTGAGTGAAGCTCCCCACTTTTCTTAAATTGTTGGTTTGTTATTTGTATCATCGAAATAGGGTTCATGAGTCTATTTTGTATGATCTAGCCTTTCTAGCTTCTACCTTCTTCTAGCTAAGGAATGTGCGGAGCTGTTAAGATAAGGGAGTCAGTCAATAAAGGCTACCAGTAACAATTTGTCGATTCAGAGCAAATATAACCAATGGTCTGTAATTCCACCCACATTGACTTGCCGAATCAGCCGTAGCACATGTCGACCGCTCATTGGTAATCCACGATCTGGCCAACTTGTCATGTGGAGCACCTGAACGGGCAATTAGTGGAAGCAGCGCTCAACATTGTAGGGTCAGAATCTTCCCACCTTGACTATATTGGAATTAGAACAGCCTTCTGGTAGCACTTCAACGGTGTATATTAAAAATCTTCCTTCGGACTCTACCTGAGATTTTTGTAACTGAGGCAATGGTCAAAAGATAACTATTGGTATGTGGACTAGACCTTCTTTGTATTGACAAACATTTTTCCGAATCGCACGAATGCTCCTGGCTCAAGTGGCCAATATTGGGACGATTTGATTTTTCCATCTTCAATAGTCTGGAAGTACCCAAGCCTGGTTTATCGAACCTTTCTTGTTTGTGGTCAGGTTGCCTATCTCATACTGGGCATAGTCTGTCACTGATTTATGGACATGTTACTTAACAGCTCAGCTTATCTGCATGAGAAATCGCGTGTTTGGATAGGAATTTCGCTTGCTACCCCCAAGTTTAATAAGCGCTCAAAATGGATAAGTGTTCTGCGTGTTGGAAACTTCTTTTTGGATTCTAATCTCTGCGTAGAATTCTCCATAAGCTAAAGCTGTTCGGATACAAGGCCGTCGGCATCAGCCTCACCTACAACGTTCAGTGGTGGAGGATGTACAGCAGAGGTTCGAGGAAAAGTAAGGTTTTAGGTGGGCATTGTCTCATTCTCAGGCTCCCACCTTAGTCAGGTTCACAATATGTGGACATCCTTCCTGAAAGACCATCCTCCAAAAATCTTCAATGGTGTTATCAAGGGGAGCCTGAAAAGGTATTTTCAAAGGCCATCATGTTAAAGGAAGAGCAGAAGTATAATACCTGAGTTGCAATGAATACTTTGTCATGTCCTTCGAACTTGATCCAATTTGCATGGATATAGTCTGTACTGGGTGGTACATCCAGTGTTAGTTTAACTCTTGTTTCATCCAAACAGACAACATCCTTAAACAAAAACAAATCTTCGTAAAGTTCTTCTGCAGAATAAGCCATGCATACGACTCCCATTCTTAACGACAGAAAGAATGACCGCGCAACTCAAAGGCGAGGCAATAAAGTCTTCCAAACGTCATAACCACTCAAAATGAAAATCGCGTGCATGGCGTGATCCAACAGGATCTTGATCAATAGCGGCCCCATTGCCTATTTTTTGTTTGGCACTCACCAAATATCTGTTTTTGTCAGGATTAGCTTCGAAAGCAGTAAACTTATATAAGTAGTCCGGTGCTCTATATGCTTGTAATTGCTCTCTAAACTGCTTTCTCAGGCCTTCGACACCTTAAATATGGATGATCGAGTGTTGCATAGATCCAGGTTAAAATGCAGCTTGTAGAAGTCGAGGCAGCACCGGGTTAAGCCTTCCTTTAGTAAAAAAATGTCTTTGACTGTAGTGCAGTGTTTCAGTGCTCCCTCAAGCATGCCATCACATATCCTGCCCATCTTTCTGGTGGTAAGCTACGATCCCTTGCGAGCGAGGCCATTTAGCTTTATCCCCTTTTTGAACAGCTTTATCAGTCCAATT